ACACACACACAAGCAATCCAATTAGAAATTGAGCAAGGTCATGAAGAAAAGTCTCCTCTCTCAGATCTCCCCGATCCCCGGGGCCCAGCTCCTCCTTTCCGCAGGCTGCCTTTCTGAGAGAGAGACCTGGGGTACTCTGTCCTTGTAGCACGTTTGTGGAGATTTGTTACACAGAAAAAGAAACAATTCATCAAGAGTTCTCTCTCGCTGGAATCCGCACACCATCTGAGCCATCCTCTTGGCAGGAACCTGGAGCCGGGAAAGCTGTCAGGAAAGATTTTTACAAAGATCTCAGGGACCTCTGAGCCAAGGAATAAAGTGATGAGTTTGACTTGTAAGATAAAAACGAATTTAATTCTCTTCACCCTGCCTCTGCCATCTTTTCATTATAAATTAAGGGGAAGGAAAAGGCTGTTCTCTTCAATAACTCTGGCTCTTTTAATGAAGGATGTTTTAGGCAACTGGAACATAATTAAAGTGATATTGTATTTCTTTTATTAACGTGATTATAGTAATGCATAGATTTCAGCGGGTGCTATCCAACAGATTAAAATGGAGACAGATGGCTGGCATTTGGGTTGGAATTAGAGTCCATAGAAATATATCACATGCCAGCTTTTTAAAAGGAAGGTGCAGCCCAGCCGGTGGCTCAATGGTTAAGCGTCGACCTATGAACCAGGGGGTCATGGTTCGATTCCTGGCGAGGGCACGTGCCCAGGTTTCGGGCTCGATCCCCAGTGTGGGGTGTGCAGGAGGCAGTCAATCAATGATTCTCTCTCATCATTGATGTTTCTAAACTCTCTTCCTCTTCCTTCCCCTCTGAAATCAATAAAAATAAAAAGGAAGGTGCAAACCTCCAATAAAATTTCTAGAAATTTTATCAGGTGTTTTCAATTGCTATTCTTAGAGCAATATCTTAGCAAACTTTAAAAATATTGATTGTTTGATGGTTAAGTTGCAAATAATTATTTAGCATTGTGACAAGTACAAGCCAAAGCCTCCTGTCATTGCCCAAAGAACCAGCCTCTCTCTGACTGGGGCCCTGCGGCTCCCCCTGTGCCACCGCAGGGCGCGGGCAGGGGGCCGTTCCCGGGTGGGGAAGGGAAACCAGAGTCCAACCCTCAGAATATCGTGCAGCCCCACGGTTCTGTGAAAGTGTCCTGTGAGAGGACGGAATGGACGCGTCTAAAACACCAGCGTCGTGAAGAGCAAGGCCGAGCTGTGAGGTTATCGAAGGCGAAGGGCGTGGCTGCCCCGTGCCGGCTCCGCGGCTTTGGCTCAGGCGCAGCGAAGCTGCACAGGGCGCCGCTGTGGGTCAGCCGGGGCCACGGCGGTTATGTAACAGCATCTGTCACTGCTACATTTCCTGAGCTGATCGCTGTGCTGTGGTTATGTAAGAGAGTACCTCCGGAGAAATGCACAGGAATGCATTTAGGGGCTAAAATAAAAGAAATAAAATTTAAAAAAAAATAACGTGTGTACAACTTACTTTCAAATGGCTCAGGAAGAAAGTTCCCTCTTTCTCTCTCTCTATCTCTTTTTCTTTCTTTCTCTTCCTCTCTCTCTCTCTCTCTCTCTCTCTCTCTTTCTCTCTCTCTCTCTCTCTGATAGATTTGATTATATCACATTTAGAGACTTCTGCAAAGCAAAGGATGCCACAAAGATAAAAGATAAACAACATACTGAGAAGAGATATTTGCAAATATTTGCAACACATGGCACAGACAAATAATTAATATCCAGAAAAAATACACAGAAGACCAATAACCAAATAAAACTAAAATGAAATATACAGAAAAAGGAACCTAACTGTGTGGTAAATATAGGAAAGTGGTTATTCTCATTAGTAATCAGGAACACATAACCTGAAAACTTGGCAATAACATTTTACAATCCTCTCACCGGCAAAACACGAGCAGTCTGATCACAGCGAGTGTGGCTGGGTCTGGGGGGCAGAGAGCCGGCCCTCCCGATGGGAAGCGATTTGGCAATAACCAACCCAGTGCACACCGTGACTCAGCATCGCCCCCAGGTGCGCCCCCAGGACCACTGCACCAAGGCAGGGCAGGACCCGGGGCTGGTGGGGGAGCTAGGAACCGCCTCAGCCCACCAGCAGCGGGATGGACAGCCACGCTACATGTAGTGTCGGGACAGGACACAGGCAGCTACAGCCGGTACGTCTGGTTCATTTGGTCAGAGTGTGCTGTGTGCACCCAGGTCATGTCTTACCACCTAGAACGTGGCACAGGAAGGATGTACAGCCAAACCCAGGCTCCAGGGGCCAGGGGAGGGGGAAGCAAGACAGAGGAGGGAGCCAAAAGGCTTCACCTCCATCTCTGATATGGTTTCTTTGCTGAATATGTCAACTTATCATCTAGATACTATTAAATACACTTACCTATAAAACAACCAAAGTTTTAAATGTGTTCATTCATTCATGATGTTGGGCCCAGAAATGTTTGTTATTTTTTTAAAGTATTTTTAGCCCTGGCCTGTGTTATAGGGTCACAGGTTCAATTCCCTGTCAAGACAAATCATGAGTCTCACATGGATGTTTCTATCGTTCTCTTTCTCTCTCCCTCCCTCTCCACACCTCCCACACACACACACACATACACACACACACTTCCTCTCTTCCTTCCACTCTCTCTAACAATCAATGGGGAAAATATCCTCAGGTGAGGATTAATAACAAAAAATACTTTTAGGATATTAAAAAACTGTGTTTTAAAAACTCTCCAGTTGCTGTGTGTGGGGTCCCCTGATGCCATGGGGGTGCCAGGCAGAGATGCTCCTTTCTCGCGGTCCCTGAGGCCTCACCCACCGCTCACTCCGCCCCGGAGGGACCGGCTGGCACCAGTCCTCCAGGCCACTCATTAATAAGTTGTACGGGGTGACCCCGTAGGTTCCTCCCACCAGCCCACAGAGGGCAAACCCTTTCCCTTGCTGCTTTCAATGGACTGCCTTGTTATTTTATTTTGTTCACAGAAATTTATTTTGGAATTATGGATATATATGTTCATTATGAAAAATTTCAATACAGAGAAACTAAAAAAATGCCTGATCCTCCTATTCATGGAAAGAATAAAGGTACTATTACCCTCTGCCAGTCAGGTTTGGGTGAGGTGAGCAGACAGTCACCAAACAGGCATCGTGTGCCTGCCGGGCTGTGGCCGTGGCACTCCTGTGTGCGTGCGGGTCCCTGAGAGCTGTCTTTCACTCAGCATCCCGGGCAGCGTGTGAAGCCACAGAGCATGAGGGGCCGAGCCAGACTCCTATGCTCACCGCATGTTCCACTTTCCCTGTGGTCAGCAGTGCTGGGTAACAGTCTATTCAATATTTGGGGAGCTTCGCCCTCTTATTTCATTAAGATAAACCCCGAAGTTGCGATTTCTGGGTTATTGCCAGATTGCCTTCTGGGAAGGTTGGATCAATGCGTTCCCTGAGCATCCACTGGTGAATGTGCAGCTCCTGTCAGTGCTGGCTGCGTGCTGGCTGCTCTGCAGGCGGGACTGAGCGACCTCCCTGCCCAGCCCTGGGCGCGGTGCTGTCAGCATCCCCAGGTCACAGCACCCGTGGAGAGGAGTGACCTGCCCTCTCTGAGTGCCAGGTGAGGCCAGGGTGGCTGCTCAGGGGGGTGGAGCAGAGGCTCACTCCTAACCTTCTCTGCTAGGAGTTCTGCAGGCACCGGCTGGGTACCACGGCCCAGTCCAAACAGCCTCTCTCATAAACGCAGGGAGAGCGGACCCGCTGCACAGCTGCTGCGGGCGCTGAGCGAGCGCAGTTCCCGGGGACTGCAGCCTAGCAGACCGGGGAAGCACCGAACTTTCCTTTCTGATTGGTGAGCTAGAGCATTGTAAAGACTTACTACCTATTTGTAGTTATTTGTGAAATCTGCACGTTTCCTGGGTGAGTTTCTTAAATCTAACTTCCTTTCCCGCAGCACAAATGACCTAAGTAGGTCGAAAGCAGGAGCTAGAACCACTGCCATCTCCTGCCGCCTCGCTGGGCACAGGCTGCCTGCAGGCCCAGTCCTGCTCGCCGGGCTCATCGTCCTCGCTGCCACTGCCGGGAGAATTCCCACCCGAGGTTTGGTACATGTGGTAGGTGCTGCGCTGTCTGTCTGTCTGTCAGCTTTCCGTGGGGCTTGCTGCCAGCTTCAGAGTCCCTTCCTGTGAGTCACTGTGGGACGCCTGCTGCCTCTGTGTCCTGGCCCAGGGTGCGCTCTGGGAGAGCATCCTTGTCACATGAGGGCGCCACGCCTTCTTAAGAGGGAACGTTGCTGGCAAAGGGGATTTGGCCAAGTTGCTTGGCTCTGGCCCCTCTGCTGCCTCCCTCTGGCGTGTTTCTCCGCCCACTGTGCCTTCGCCTCTGCCGCTCTGGCTTCTTCCTGTGTCACTGGCTTCTACCGTTCCCTCCACATCTGGCGGCACTTTTCGCGGCCTCTGCCTCTGCCTGGTCCTTCCCTGAGGCCCAGGGTCAGAGGTGACTGAGAGGCAGAGGTGTCTCTGCGGCAGCGGCTGCTTCCCTCCCTGGCAGACGCTCCCCCAGCTGCAGAGCGGCCTCCACAGGCCTGGATTTTCCCATCTTGTGGGATTATTTTGATTTGACTTGATTGAATTCCGCGTAATGTGCACACTATCCTGAAAGATAAGCACTATCACCTGTTCTATTGGCTCAGAAACTGCTGCTCACAGGCCCGAGGTTTGCTGCTGTCTGTGGGCCATGGAGCCACCCAGGGTCACAGCCAGAGGCATCTGGGTCCCAAGCAGAGTGCTTTCTGCCACGTGACCCTGCCCAGTCCTCCCAGGCCCGGGAGCACTTGTGAGCTGCAGCTGGAATGAACCAGACAAGAGCAATGCTCACTGTCCATCGAGTGAGCAAAGCCATCTGTCCACAGGGACACAGCCATGCTTCAGAGACTGGGCCCCAGTGGGCAAAGGCTCACCCAGGTCCTCCCCATCCCCCCCGTTTGTCCCCCTCACCACACCCTCACTTACTCAGGAGAAGGAGGAGGGATCTCAGCAGGCCGGCCGCCCAGCCCATGCTGGCTGCTCCAGGCCCTGCAGAGCAGCAGACTGTGTGGCCCGAGCGCCTGGGGCCTAGGCCAAGCCCACGACGGAAGAGGAGGAAGCCACTGCCACGCCCATTTAGTTCCTCTGGGCCTGCGGGCAGGGCTGCCAAAGGCCCGAGCTGGCCTCTGCCGGGAGGGGGGGAGGGCTGTGCCCACAGTCAGGCCCCCTGGGACTTGTTGGGTGCTGTTTTTAACCAGCACAGTCTCCTGTAGCCCTCCCACACAGCACAGGGCAGAAAGACAGCTGGGTGCAGATTCCTGCCCAGACACCTGGCCTGGGGCAGGGAAAGGGGTCGTGGATGTGGGCAAAGGCCTCTGCCTGGCGCCCACCTCCTGCAGGGTCAGTGCCCGCCTTCAGGAGGTCAGAAAGCTGCCCTCCCGGCCCACAGTTTGTGTGCCAGGGGCCCCTTTACTTTAAATTCCTCACATAAGGAAACCAGCTAATACTGAAAGCAGTTATAAAAATGTGCATCCTACCACGGGCAGACTGACAGCTGTTCCACAGATGACCTTTACTTGACCTCCATCACAACGCTGAGTTAGTGTGTGGCTCCCACAGTCCACCCAGCGGTGAGCACCAGGGCGGGGCTGTGACACTGGTCGCCCACAGCCAGTGCTCCTCGCACTGTGCCCTGTGCCCGGTGCCCGGTGCCCGGTGCCCGGTGCCCTGTGCCATGCCCCATGAGCAGGCACCACCCTGCCCAGGCCCAGCCATCAGCAGGGGCAATCAAGTCACCGGGTGGCAGTGTCTGCTCCTCCTGAGCTCACAGAAATGGGCACGAGGGAGTGGGCTGTTCAGGAGAAATGTAGTGGCTTCATTTTGCTGCCCTGAGAGTCCATCCCCCTGCTCACCCTCAACACACACACACCCAGACACACACACATCCCCAGACACACACCCCCAGATGCACACACACACACAGACACACACACACACACCCAGATACACACATCCCCAGCCATACACATCCCCCCCCACACACACACACACAGAGACACACACATAAAGACACACACGCAAAGACATACACACACGCGCGCACACACACACACACACACTTCATTCCATGCAGAGCTCTCAGGCAGTCTCCTCATGCACCAGGAAACATGTCTGTCATGCTTCTCCCGAAACCTGCACCTTCGCATGTCTATCCCTCTCAGTGGATGGGATACACATGGGAAGGTGCATGTTTCAGGAGAAGCACAACAGACATGTTTCCTGGTGCACGTGAGAACAGTGTTCGGAGTCCCAGGTGAGCTGAGAAAATGCGGGGGCCGTGCTGGGCCGGAGTGCAGGCCCCTCAGGCAGAGGCAGCCAGGGTGCAAAGAAGCCTCATGTCTGTGTGAAATCTCCGATTTTCGAATGTTGGCACATTTTAAGATTTTTTTTTTTTTAACAGGCCATATCTCTTGCAACCTCTCCTGGGCTGGACCTAGCGTACCTGGGCCCAGGACGGAGTTTCTGCTCCAGCCGATGCTCTTCACCCGACAGCCTCCCTGCTGCCTGCCGCGTGGAGAGGACAGAAGCAGCCACATGGCCCCAGCCGACCAAAGACCTCCTGGTGATCAGAGAGCCTGGGAAAGAATAGCCCTAAATGCGAGACCGGGGTGGGGGTGAGGTAAATGTGAGAGCAGAAAGGAGTGACCTGAAATCAGATACAATTGAAAGACTACACATCTTAAAATTTGTTTGTAAAAAGCTAATAATATGACAAACTTCTGAGAAATAATAGTATTAATACAAAGGGATATAAGCATCATTTTAATTAGTCAAAATAGAAAACTATACAATTATCTTACTAGACACAGAAAAGTATTTGATAAAATCCATTTCCCATTCATAATAAAGAGAATCCAATAAACTAGGAATGGTAAATACCTTATTTAAAAAAAGATATTTACCACAAAACCAATGAACCCTATGGTTATGGGAACCACATATATTCAATGCCCTTTAAATTAAGGACAGGACAGAATGTCCTCATCTCTACTTTTAGCCAATATTGTCTGGAGGGCTAGTTAGTACAGATTTTCTTCCAAGGGGGACTACAAGGAATGAAAACTGGAAAGAAAAAAATGATACTCTTAGGTGATTTGTTTATCTATCTGGAAAACTTTGAAGACTTAAACATGCTTTGTTAAAAATAATATCATGGCCCTGACTGGCTTGGCTCAGTGGACAGAGAGTTGGCCTGTGGATTGAAGGGTCCTAGGCTCCATTTCAGTCAGGGGCACGTGCCTGGGAGGTGGGCTCGATCCCTAGCAGGAGGTGAGCAGGAGGCAGCTGATCAATGATTCTCTCTCATCATTGATGTTTTATCTCTCTCTCCCTCTCCCTTCCTCTCTGAAATCAATACAAATATATTTAAGTAATACTAATAACAATAATAATAATAATATGGCTGAATAGTAGGTCAATATTTTGAAACTTAATTGGACCCTAGCCAGTTTGGCTCAGTTGATAGAGCGTCAGCCTGTGGACTGAAAGGTCCCAGGTTTGATCTGGTCAATGGCACATTCCCCGGTTGTGGACTGCAGGCTCAGTCCTCAGTATGGGACATACAGGAGGCAGCTGATCAATGATTCTCTGTCATCATTGATGTTTCAATCTCTCTCCCTCTCCCGTCATCTCTGAAATAAAAAAATATATATTTTTTAAAATTAATTGGATTTTTATACACCAGCAACAATCAGAAAGCATTTAAAAAATTTTAAATTACCATCACCAACAATATGTATGTGTGTATGCAGACATATATGTGTACTATAATAGACTATTATATAGAATAGAACAGAATGGATCTAACAAAACTTACTCAAGACTCACATGGAGAAAACTTTGTTAGCACCATTAAAGGAGACCTAAACAAACTCAAATCTTAAAGACATCAAGCTTTCACAAATTGATCTATAGTGTATATATTTAGCTGTATTGCTAATCATAAAATCAGGACCAAGGTGAAATATCAGCCTACACTGTTTAGGTAATAATCTCAGGTAGTACATTTGTGACAGGTGAATAAATCCAGGGAGCATCATGCCATGAGCTGAGCCAGACTAGAAAGGACAGATACTGCATGGTCTCACTCACACCCAGAATCTGAAACAGTGAAACGTGGAGAAGCAAAGAGCAGATGGTGGTTGCCAGGCCTGAGGGTATCAATGGGCACAAAGTGCCAGCTACACAAGATGAACACATTCTGGAGCTCTAACCTATAGCGTGGTGGCCACAGTCGATAATACCGCATTGTGTACCTGAAATTTGCCAGGAAGGAGGTACTGTGTCCTCACCACACACCCAAGAAGAAAATTATATTCTAGGAGCTGATAGGAATGTTAATTAGCATGATTGTGGAGATTACTTAGCAATGTATACATGTATCAAACCAACACTTGACTTCAATGTGCAGGGTGGGACAAAAGTAGGTTTACAATTGTGAGTATGAGAACAGAGTTTATTCTTGTATTTTTAGCTATTATGTATTGTGTTATTTTCCATTTGAACAACTGTAAATCAGAAATCAGATACAATTGAAAGAGTCGACAATTATACTTGAATAAAGATGGGAAATCTTAAGTTATACTAAGTGGAAGTTGAGAATGTGAAAACGCAGGGCACAGCGTCTCTGAAAGCAACTTTCTGTCCTCTGGTGGCACATGAGCCAACAGTGCCCCTCCTGGACAGTCAGGACAGAGGGACACCTCAGACATGCACGCTCGTGTACCGAGGGGGTTGTTTATAGAACATGATTTGTAAAGTCAAAGACTTTGAAGGACCATGAAACCCAATAACAGGAGAAAGGATAAATAATTGATGATAAATACTACATAGCTATAAAAACGAATGAACTCAGTAACATAGACAACTTGGATAAATCTTAGAAACACAATATTGTGTAAAAAATCAAATTGCAAGAGATAAACAGAATGATATCATTTTCGTGAAACATAGAAACAAGCAAAACTAAACAATAAAGCCTGTAGGCAATACATATATAATTTTCATTGAATAATATTTTTAAAAATCATTAGGATAACAAACACAGCATTCAGAAGAGCAAAGGGGAAAAGAAGGAACAGACAGATAAAAGGCAGAGGTCGTGTTCTAGCTCTCTGATTGTGAGGGGGGTGGGTGTTTGTGTTACTATGATGCTTTGTTAGAAGGAAGGGAGTATGCTGAGTTTTTCCATAAAAGTCCTGGTTTATGTCCATTAACTCCGTGTAATTATGATAACATCTCCTTTCACTCTCAAAGATTTGACAAAGGCCTGAAGGTTTGTATAATGAATGTAGTCTCCTTATTTGTACCTCACATATGTTATGAAGAATTTGATATTAAAGATTGCATAATTAAAAAGTAATTAAAACAAATATTGATACCAGCAAGGTTGTGTTAATAGAAATTTATTGTTCCATTCATTCTACTCATAATTACCATCAACAGCTTTAAAGGTTTACATAAGCTTTGACCCATCAATTGCAATTTAGGAAATGCAGTTTAAGGAAATAATTGAATGTGAAAGGATGAATATAAGGATGCTCACCACATAACTGCTAAAAGTTAAAAATCAAAGTGGCATGCCAAAGTCAGGAACCAGCCTAAACTGGACAACTAAGCAGGTGGCTAGCAAATTGGTGTAGGAACTGTTCCCAGGAAGAGAAGAAGGTGAAGTTGTAGGCAAACATGGTCAGTGGTGCAGCCTACTTGCCTCAAACCTTTTTTTTTAAATATATATTTTATTGATTTTTTACAGAGAGGAAGAGAGAGGGATAGAAAGCTAGAAACATCAATGAGAGAGAATCACTGATCAGCTGCCTCTTGCATACCCCATACTGGGGATGTGCCTGCAACCAAGGTACATGCCCTTGACCGGAATCGAACCTGGGGCCTTTCAGTCTGCAGGCCGACGCTCTACCACTGAGCCAAACCGGTTTCGGCTGCCTCAAACCTTTTGCAATTAAAAGACAGTGT